TATTATCGCCAAACCATTATATGATCGATTAAAAAAGAATCCTCCTAAATGGATGGATCAGCATACTAATGCCATTAGAATTCTCAAAAGTAAATAAAAAATACTACCTTGTTTAGTTTTATCTAACTCTAATGCTTACAAGATTATTGAATGTGATGCTTTAGAACTTGGTTTAGGTGGAATTCTTAAACAAAGAATTGATAATAAAGAACAATTAGTACGTTATACTTCCAAAGCATGGAATCCTACACAACAGAACTATTCGACAATTAAAAAAAAAATTCTTGCTATAGTTCATTGCGTAAATAAATTTCAAAGTGCTATTCTTAATACTAGAACAGATTGCAAATCTGCTAAAGATATCTTGCAAAAAGATGTTCAAAATCTTGTTTCAAAATAGATATTTGCTCATTGGCAGGCTATTCTATCCGCCTTTAATTTTTCTATTGAACATCTTCACGGTTCGGCTAATGCTCTCCTTGATTTTTTCACCCGTGAATTTTTGCAAGGGGGTTTAGATCTACCGCCGTTACCTAAGCCAGAAGAACCCTCATCAATACAGTTATTCAATATGAATATTAATAGTGATAAACGAAAAGGAAAGACTATAATGGATATAATCCTTATGATATCACCCGGATCTCCAATATCAATATATCCACCTCTATCACCAGCCAGATCCCTTAATTATCCAGAATATTCAACCCAAAATCCAAACCCAGTATTTACTCCAGCGCCTGTCCTAAATAAGCCAACCAGTTCCAATAAATTAGTCTTTCCTAAATAAGCCAACCAGTTCCAATAAATCATTCTTTGAAGAAACAGCCTTTCTGATAGATGTTACAATTGAAGATAAACATGTCAATATTGACCCAAATAAATTGGCTCCCTTGTACCTTCAAAATCATCTTAATCCCTCGAATGGCAATAAAACCCGAGAATGGTATGAAGCCGTTCTTATGGAAACTGGATCCATATCTCTTGTTCACTTTTTTAACCCCTCTATTAAGGTGATCTCTTATCTAAAATACAAATAAAACAATTGCTATCCTATGATGATTGGGGCTGGACCCCAAATCAAGGGAGAAAATTACAAACTCAAGAATTTCAATACTAATCTTATAAATATACCGAATATATGGATGCTTGGCATAAAATATTTGCTTATCAAAATCTCAATAATTCTCATACTTGGTATGTACAGTTTAAAATGCCTATACTTGAAAGATTTCCAAGTTGGTTTAGATATTTGTTTTTAATATGGGGTTCTGGAACCCAAATATTACCTGATGCTTTCAAGAATGCTCAGGCAAAATTCGTAGAATATAATAGAATAAATGATGATATAGATTACCATCTATATTTCATGGCAATATATCAGATACCCTGGATTCTGAAATGGGAATATGGGATTTCCGAGAATACTAGCAATAGTTTTGAATATATTCCTTGATTGGGAAAAAGAATATTTATAAAATGGTGGGATATATTTAGTATGGACCCAAACTCGATCAAACCCAAAAGAATTCCTCCTTCTCCCACAAAATATCAGAATAATAATACCAATGAGTTCGACCCAAATAAGTTTGCAGAATATATCAGAAGAATGCGCAAGCAAAATCCAAGAGCTACCAAAAAGGAACTCGAGAATCAGCTTTTGAAAATAATCGAAGAATAAGCTTCTGATGCAACGTCTCTGCCCGAACCCGAACAAATGGAAGATGAGTATAGCCAGAGGCCCGAATAACCAGCGACAGTTGTCAAAAATAATGTACAAAGACTACCAAAGATGCTCCTGTCAAATCACAGTGGATGCTTTCGTACAAAAGTAACAGGCAGAAAACACTGTTAAAGATGCCACCATACCTAATAGCCGACACAACCTACTGTAGAAGATGTCTTTTACGTTTTCTTTAGTCTTGTCCAAATGTAAAGATTCTCTTTCTTTATCGTAAGTCTTGTCCAGATGTAAAGATGCTCTTTACGTCCTCTCTGTCTTGTCCAGCTGTAAAGATTCTCTTTACGTCCTGTCTCTATTTTCTTTCTATCCAAAACGAATCTGCTTTGTGTCATGTCTCTTTTTGAAGACACCTCACCCCCTGCCAACTCAACACTCTTCTTCCTCTATATAAACCACTTGAACCTCTCATTTGAGACAGATTGGGAAGAACTCTCTCTTTTCTCTAAAGCTTCGCCTTCCTCTCCTCTTCAAGCTTCGCCTTCCTCTCCTCTTTTAAAAGCTTCGCCGCCTTCCTCTCCGAAGATTCAGCTACCTTCTCTTATCCTACCTGATCTCCTCTATCCTGCCTGATATCCCGCTTGATATATTCAAACTCTCTCAGGCAAGCTATTTTCAAGTAAGATCTTTCCATTTTCTTTTGTTCATAGTTGGTAAAGATGTGTGATTGTAATTTCCATAAGTTACATTCGTTCTGCCTGGACGAATGGAAACATTTTGCAAGTTTCTGCATTCGTAATTTGTGAGTATTGCTGTATATGTACTCTTTCTGAATCAGTTTGAATAAAACTTGTCTATATTTGTATTATGCAGTTTAAATTAATCCTTAGCATTAAAATACAAAATAATATTTATACTACGTGGATAGTATTAGATATTTCTGTTATTTCCTTCATCATTATCTTGTGCATCTTTTTATATTATACTACTCTTTTTAGATCTTTATTAGATTATACAACGATGTTTTCAATGTTACTTAGATAAAATATAGGTTTACAGATCTTGGCGTTATTGGTATCAGAGCCATTAGAGATTAGATCTTCTTAATTTTTTACGATTAGACTATTTTTAGCTGATAATAGTTTCTTATAAGATAAGATTATAATAAAATTGGTCATTTATACGATAGTCTGAGCGTTAAGACTCATTGTCGTCCAGTCATCACAGACCATTTAGGCCAAGAAGAGCCATCCAAGTCGTTCAAGACGTACGAGGTTGACTAGAGTCATTATCCGTACCGATAAATGGAAAATTTTATTAAAACCTTATCTAATAAAACACTATCATCTTCTATATATATATATATATATATATGGGTACAGTTTCTATAGAGCCTAGGTTCTAAACAATCAAATTAGAGCCTACCTTCAAATAGTGTCGAGAAATGTGGTTTTAATATTGAAAATCTTTATGATAGCCTTGAAATATATTTTCATAGTTATTTATAAAGTTCAAAGCAATAATGTAGATCAACATATCTATGAAAACTTGAAAATTGATGGTCCAAAAATGTGTTACAGAATACACTATTCCCAAAACTTGCAATCCATTTTTTTCTCATGTCCATCGATCTTGATATCGAGATGATCAATTTGAAGATATTTGGGCATCAAATCAACCTTGGCTAGTAAAAGTTTTGAGGTAGGCTCAAATTTAATTGTTTATATATATATATAGAAGGAAAGAAGCCTGTTTGCCCACGGGTTGACTACTACAGTGTCAGCCAAAGGCCCAAATTGAATATGGGTCCGATCCAATGGTCACGACCTCAGATCGGCCCAGATTTAATCTGGACCGTTGGTTGACACTGTAGCAGTTCGCCCGTGGGCTGATAGGATCCATTCCCATATATATATATATATATATCATCATCATCATCATCATCATCATCATCATCAGCCAAGCCTTATCCCGATTATTTGGGGTCAACAACATGAATCCAGTTCTTCCATTCTTCTCTATCAAGGGCCATTCTCTCTCAATAGGGTCATACTCTCTTAATAAGACCAAAAGTCACCATAACTTTTTTTACTACTATCCATGTACTTTTCTCCCCTTGCCCTTTTAGAGCCTTCCACTTGAACCAAACGCACCTTCTACTTGGTGCTGTATAGGTCTACCTTGCACATGGCCAGCCACCTAAGTCTACTTTTCCTCATCGTATCGCCTGTTGAAGCTACACCTAAGTTCCCTCATATATAAATTCATTCTGAATTCTGTCATTTCTTGTCATGCCACTCATCCATCTCAACATCCTCATCTCAGTTATGCTCATCTTATGGATATGTTGTTTCTTGACTGCCCAATATTTTGTCCTATAAAGCATGATTGGTTTTACAGTCTCAATGGTATGTGGCGATCACATAAAACTCCAGATGCACATCTCCACTTCACCCATATATATATATATCACCATATGTCATATGCTATAGCCATGAAGTGTAAAGACAGTAAAATTACAAATAGGATTTGCTAAAATCAGCTTGGCTAAAGTAAATAACAGCATGGAATCGATTAAACTTAAATTAAACAATATAGAATTTATTGTGATCTTTTTTCATGGTTCTAAACTGAAAAAAAATCAATACTGAATTTTGAGACATTGTTTCACCCCTCAGCTCACTTCAACCCCAAAACTAGACTCTTTGCAGAAGAATATGGATATTTATGGATAGATGAAATGAAGATCGATATAATAATGTTAGTGATTATGGCTTAAGCTAATCATATTAGTAGAGCATTACTACAATACATAATGGCTAACAAATTTCCTCTACCTCTTCCGCGGACATTGACCAACCACTCATCTACTAAAGATTCTCATTCCCACAACAAGAACCAGAAATAGGTATGAAGAGAATCCTCACCTAAGGTGCATAAATTAAGCATGTCAACTCTCCAAAATGCATGGAGGTATCTCACTTAATATAAGCTAAATCCATGTAACAAATTCTGTTCTCAATCTTATTGACTTCCTTTTCTATATATGAACTCTCCAGTTTCTAATGCTGATTCATAACAAAAATTTTTGTTCTCAATATTAACTATTTCCTGATTTCTTTATTTTTAGTTTTAAAATATTTTGCTTATAAGGTTTCTCGGTACTCTTCCGATTGATAGGACTACCAATCAGACTAGTTTGGATTTGACTGGCCTTCCACTGGTAAATAATGGATCTAATCGTGATAACAGGCGACTGCATGGATATTATCAATAGTTAAGCTAAAAGTTAGTAAAAGATAAAGAAAGCTCCAAAACTTACGTCATAAGTGTCCACCAGGGCTAGGAAGTTGTTCGGAAACGCGAGTGCGTATGAGGTGAAAGCTGCCAACTCACTTTGACTGGTCTCACTAAAACTCCCACGAAATGACTCAACGCTCTGAAAAAACATATAAGAAAATAATCACGAAAGATAACAATAATAAAATGGATAAAGGGACTTTCTGAAAAGGTACAACCATGGGTCTTATGTAAGAGGTACACGCACACAAAAATAACTTAAAGACTATCAGCCATGGTAACTTTAACACTATTTTCCATGAACCTCATCAGCCATGCATCTCAGATCTAATTAAAAGTAATTAACTGTATTCCATGTATTCAAGTTGAAAATTTCAAAATTTAAGTTCCAAACTTAGAAAGTATTTCCTTGTCAAGACATAAAATCTACTACACGAAACTTACAGAAATCAAATCATCATAGCCATTGTCGAAATTGTGGCAAATGTTTCCATGGTATCCTTCCTCCTTTTTGACCAAGGATAAGTGGATGCTCTCAACTAACAATTAGATTAGATCTCAAACATAAAATCTAGATTGAAGTCCTAGGAAATCAGATGTTAGGAATTTGATCCATCCTATGTTGTTTATTCTTAAGGTCTACCTATATCAGTGTTTATCTAACATTTCTTTTTCTTTTTTTTTATTGCTTCGACTACGCAATAATGCAGTCAAGGTTATTGGCACAACCTCGCCATCATTAGGTTCTATGAAATGCAGAATGCATTGATCATCAAGTCAACTGGATTTAAAAACTACCTTATTCTCTCTCTTACAAGAAGATCTGACTACAAAAACTAGCTATGTGAGTCAATAATACCAAAATTTACTCTTTGTACGATGTGCATTACTGCCGAGGAAAAGTATACTATAATCCAACTAACTATGGGAAACCATACTCCACAGGATCATCGCCATCCATTGAAAATAGAACAATCCCCATTCTGAGTCCCCACTCTCTTTACATCATGGTGATGGCCCACTAGGCTAATGGTTTCAAGTTGTCTCAATGGGCTATAGTAAATTTCAGCAGATAATAGAGTTGAACCTAATCTCATGAATATAGTTAGCCATAGTAACATAAAACAACTAAATGGTGACAAAATAGTCCAGCCATAAACTATTTCATATCATAAATAAGTGGCATCAAAGATAAAAAATGAATGAGGGCAGCTAATCACCCTAGAAAACCACCTGAAGCTTGCTTAGCCAAGTCTGTACCAGGCTGACAAAATCGTCGCAAGAATCTGAACCATTGGAATGAGGAAGAGTTTTAGCTGTAATCTCATCTGGGCTCTACAAAGCATTCCATGCGTCAGAAGACCAGAAAGTCAATTCCAACAGATGCAGGTTCCAAATAGACTGGAGTGTGTTTGCATGCGTATGTTTTAGAGCCAATATTAGAAGTAGAAACAAAATTATTAGACTTAAATTAAAAAATAAACTCAAAAGTAATGACTTCATCACAAATTACCAACCATGAAGGAGCTGACAAATGCATGAGAATGCGTTCCTCGAAGTGGTATGCCAAATAACTTTCCAGCCAAGACATTGCTGCTAGCCAGAATAAAATGTTTTACGAAATAGGAGCAGAAAAACTAAGAAATGAATGCTTCAATTATATGCTTTTCAATGTAAAAAAGAAGTGAGATATATCATAACCAAGTTGAGAAAACCAACAGAACAAATGTACCAAGATTTATTTATACCAAGAGCTAGGTTCCTTTGACAAATCACTAGGAAGGGAATAATCATATCGGAAAGTGCGTTTATATAATACCACTTGGAAACAACGGATGGTGTTCATGCTTAGCAAATACAAAAAGTAGCAACTAGAAAAAGCAGTCAATCTAAACAAAAAGAAACTATAAAATCACATAGCCAAGTGTCAAGAAGTCTTTGCCAAGTTTATTCATTTACACCAAGCTTTGTAGGAAAGTTAATCACTAGATGCCCATGCCTCAAGGTGTGGAACAAACATGGGAGATTAGGTGCACTTTTGAGATATTAACAAGAACCATCTCTCTCAAGAAGCACATAAAACATAGGATATATATGTCTGAACTCAAGTAATATGTAGTTTGTAGAACACTCCTCCATCCTGCAAGAATGAGGTCAAGTTTCATCATTTCAGATCATTCAATTCTCCCACTTTGATGGGCATGCCATGGCTAAAGGAATAAAGGAACGAGAAGACATGAAATACCTCTCCTAGTACAAGAAATACATAGAGACTTCAACACTCACCCTCAAGGTGGAGCATAGATGTCTATCAATACCCACTTTGACCAGAATTGCCTGGAATCAATCTTTCAAAGAACTTTCCTGAACATGTTTACTATTTCAACTTTGGATATTGAGAGAGAAACTTTTTGCAACCAGGGTCTCCTTCACAAAATGACATCCAACCTCGATAAGCTTCAGGGTTTGCAAATATCTCTAGGCAGCTCGATAATTACAATATACATACACAACCAAAATGACAATCACTCACAACAGCACTATCTGACTCACTGAGTCTGTCTTTTTGTTTATAATTTCTGGGCTACCCTTTTGGTAGTCACCCCATTTTTTGTATAGGGCTACCAGTCTCTGGCAAGCCTATTTTTTGGTGAGAACCCCGGCTTGTGGACATTTGTCCAACCCCCTATGTAATCTTTCTTCTAGTACTCAGAAATGTTAACGACTTCAAAAAAAATTGCGGTTTTTCACTCCATAGAAGGGACAACCAGTGATACAGTCGTGCTGATATCATGCTGACATCATCTCCACACTTCATTTTTAATTTTTATTTATTTATTTTACCATTCAAGAATTACTGTTCATGGGTATTGTTCACCAGTTACTATTCACAGGACATTTCTGGAAATTTTTAAGGTTGTTTAGGGTTGGTGTGGGGTTTTTGAGAATTGCTTGGAATTTATTTATTAGTAGGGGTAGTTTCGTGTTTTATTATGATTTTGAGTTCAGAAGAATAGCTATTTAAAACTTTGTAAAGAGGTTAGTGTTGTTTAGGGGTGGTGTGGAGTTTTCGAGAATTGTTTGGAATTTATTTACAAGGAGGGTAGTTTGGCGCTTTATTATAATTTAGGGTCAAGAAGAATAGCTATTTAAAATATTATAAAGAGGTTAGAGAGTAATTTTTCTGATTTCATCATTGCTGAGAGACTTTTCTCCATCAAAGACTCCAGAGCTCCACTCTCATTAAATCTATTGAATTTCCAAGCTCTATTTTCTCTTTAATCTTGTCCATTAGCACTCTGTGCTGCATCAATTGGTATTAGAGCCAATCAATTTTTTCAATGCACCGTGGCAATCCATGACTGTGCACTAACGTATGCACACTGATGAAGGACGTGAGGCTGATATCAATGGAGGTGTGAAAAGGAAACATATCCTGATGACGACAAGCCATGACTGCGCACTAACATCTTTCGCACAAGATGCACTGTGCAAGAAGAGAGAAAAAGAGGCACACACTACTTACTAAGAAAACATACACCACCCTAATTCTTCAATTATAATATATAGAATGTTACATCTTCAGAAAGGACAGATTTGCCGTTATACAATATAGCAAAAAAAAATTACAATACAAACCACTTAAAGTACATACAAGTTACATAATTTCCCTTCATTGCATTCTTACATTCCTCGTCATGTTGCATATCATGTGTGAACATGTACAACTTGTTCTTTAAGAACTCAGGTCTATCTTTTGCAAGCCCTTTCGTAAAAATATCAACTCTTTGATTTTCGCTCCCAATAAAGTGAGCATTTATCTCCTCGGCTTCAATTTTCTCACAAAAAAAATATTAATCTATTTGAATGTGTTTAATGCAATCATCAAATACTGGATTTCCTGAAATTGCCAGAGCACTCTTGTTGTCACAATAAACTATTGACTTGCATATTTATGTTCCAAGAAAAGAAACAATATTCATATCCATGAAATCTCTGAAAATACCTGCAAGTGCTTGATACTCAACCTCATAGACTTCGCCACAGTTTTCTGTTTCTTACACCATGAAATTAGAGTTCTACCAAGAAAGACACAATAACCTCAAACTGATCTCCTAGAATCTGGCTCTCCAGCCCGGTCTGCATCAGAGTACCCAATTACATAAGCAATATTCATTCTATTCATGTTGTTTCTTTCATAGAGTAGCCCACGATTCACTGTTCCTTTTATATATCCGATTATTATCTTCAACACTTCCATGTGAGTGTTTGTGGGTGCATGCATTTATGACACATTTGGTCCACGACATATCAAACATCAGGCCTGGTGAGAGTGAGATACAGTATTGCCCCGCTAAATTTCTCTCTCTCTGGATTATCTAGCAGCTGTCCTTCAGATATCCCTAGTCTTTTGTATAGAGCAGCTGGTGTAAGATATAGCTTGCAATCTGTCCTATTGCGTTTTTAAGAAGGTCTAGAGTGTCCTTTTGTTGAGACAAGTAAATTTGATTCTCATTCTGATTGATGCAGTTGAGATCACTAACAGCCAATGCACAGCAATACAACCGTGTTTTAGACAGAGAGAATATACTGAGAAGGAAAACAACAAGACAAGGGCACAATGAGTGGAGCCGAGACCTCCACCACGCATCACAAAAACAGAAAATCTCTCTCCCTCCCTCCCTCTCACNCTCACCCTCTCNNCCTCTCTCTCTCTCTCTCTCTCTCTCTCTCTCTACTCTCTCTCGTCTCTCGTCTACTACTACTACTACTACTACTACTACT